CCAGCTCCGCTGACCGCTGGTGGGCCATAACATGAACTCCCTGCTCAAGCAGAAGACCCTATAGGTTCTGCAAACTGGAAGATAGTAGGAGGTAGACTTATTTCAGGCTTATGTGACCATGTTTGACTCTTACCTTGAACTGTATTACTTTTTTTTCATTTCAACACATACTGTAATTGGGGGCAGTTGCAAGAGAGACGGAAAGCAGGTTAGGGAGCTGGATGTGGTCCTAAATGCATGGATTTATGCGTTCAGGAATTGGGATTGATTTCTGAGAAATATAAACGCGGGAAACCCATGGAGTTCAAGCTTTCCAAAGGGTCTTCCTTGGTGAAATTCAGCCCCAACATGTGGCAGGATGGTAATCCAAGAGAGGAGTTGTAGAATGAAACGTTTTGATGGCACTGGGTTGGGAAACAGATCTCAACTCATTTGTCCTGAGACAACCTCTCCTTAGTCCCAGCTGAAGATGGAACAGGAGAGCTGTCTGGTTGGGCAATCATCTGGTTACTTATCAACTGCTCATGTTGAATTGATTCAGCTACCAAAAGGCAACTTGTGCTGTGGCCAAAAGAAATTCCTTTGGAAAGAAGAGCTTAAAAAAGATATGTTGAGAGTTACGGTAACACTTCTCCAAACAAAAGAGATGATTAAAAAAAAATTAAAAACGTGGGTTGTTGGCTAAGGTTGGAGAGCACACGCTGATCCAGATGTCTACAGAGATTCTCAATCATCCAGATCACAGTTGTCCCAAAGGTGCTTTTCCAAAAGGCAACCGAACTTCCTTGTTTCTGTACATTTCAGTGATTTGGCTTCTGTCTTCCTTAAAGTGTACTGCACAGTCCAGGAAAGCTAAGCTATTTTCCTAATATCTTCCTGTGTGAACTTAATGTTCCTGTTCACAGCATTGATGTGTTTGGACAAGAAAGTTCAGTTGCCTTTTGGAAAAGCACCTTGGGACACTCATCCAGATGAAGAAAGAAGAACCAGCCAAGGAGAAGTTCTTTCATCATAGATATTCTAGAACAGGGGTGTCCAACCTTGGCAACTTTAAGACTTGTGGACTTCAACTCCCAGAATTCCTCAGCCAGCTGCTGGCTGAGGAATTCTG